TATAGAGATATAAGAAATGTATATTTTATGAATTAGTTTTTTCAGTCCAAAGTAGGGGATAGAGGTTCTATTTATACATTTTTGTAGTAATTTATTAGACTACTAGTACGACGCAAATTCAAACTCGTCGTAACTTAAAAGTACGATGCAAATACGGATTCTTCCATGAACCCAAAATGGGCCATCAGTCGGCCTCGAATGAAAAAACAATCACGAATTCTTCAAGCCTAAAAGTATGACAAAAATACGAACCAATCGTACGACAAGTAGGTAACAGTCTATCATAAGTAACAATATATATATATATTGTTATCTACTTTGCACTATACTGTCACCTACTCAACTTGTTTCTTCTGAAGTCGCGAGCCAAAGATAGGATTTCCTAAATGGAAATAAAAATAGTCACTACCAAATTTGGTCATGTAATTCAAAAATCCCAATATGTGGATCACACGATATTTCAATTTTTTTTTTTATTCGACCAAAAAATTTTCGTTTTTTGCGCGACAAATTTTTTTTAGATGTAAAATGAATGTTTCATAGTAATATAGTGAGTGCAGGACATCTATAACGGTCAATGATTATCACATGACTTAAAAGCTTATGGCTCCTTGTTTAAAAAGAAAAATAAAGCTAAAAACCTAAGCTTCATTTCCATCGGTTTACTTGTTTCCTTTTTATTAGAAAAGTTTTGAATTATAAAGCTTCAAAGTTGGAATATTTCATATATGTCTATATGTAAATTGTAAAATCTCGGAATGACGGCTTTACAATTTTCCCGTGATAAAGAAAATCTCTAATACTAATAAATCTGATTACTTAAATTAGAAAGGTCATCTAAATTTTATAATAGATTTTTTGAATAATAATAAATAAAATAGCCAAAAAATTAAATTTTATGGGTTGTACGGCGGTAAAATGAATCCTCAGGATAATAATAATAGTCAAATAATTATTGAAAAAATTAAACCGAAAAAAAATTTTCCACTTTATATTGAAAGAAGATCTAACAACAACAACAACGACGACGACGATAGTAATAATGAATCATCACCACCATCACCATCATCGGTTGTTATAATGTTTGGATGGTCAAATAGTTCAATAAAAAATGTATCAAAATGTGCTTCATATTGGAGAAATTATAAAGATGAAAAAGGAGAAAAAAAATTTCACATTCTTTATTACGTTGCACCTGTTTTTCCTTATTTTTATTATCCTTTATCAGCTGAAAATTTAACTGAAAGTTTTATTCCATTTCTACAAGAATTTGGTGTTTTATCATCTTCTTTGGCTTCGAATGAGAAGAAACCTTTAGTTATTGCACACGCATTTTCAAATGGTGGAACAATGGGAATGGTTGCATTAATAAATGCTTGTAAAAAACACAATTTCAATTTGAGTTATGACGCAGTAATACTTGATTCTGGACCTGGAACTAC